GCTGCTTTTCGGTCTGGTTACTACCGTTTATGTCAGAACCGGTGCCATGATGGCACCAGATACCGGTACCCATCCCTACTGGTAACCAAACCCAAGACTGCTCTGGCTTTGTCTGGTTCTAGTTTTTAGGAACCAGCCTGTCTGATTGTTTTTGTGTCCTGTCAGGCATCCAGGGTGTGGTAGAGGCGTATCAGGCCTGCCTACCAAAGCTGCAGCTCTACGGCCCCACCAACATCGCCCCCATCATCCAGAAAGTCGCCAAGTCTGCCTCGCAGGAGGTGCACACCAAAGAGGCCATGGTGAGACGCGATCTAGTTTCATGTTCCAATAAAGTTTTCAGACAGGGAACCTTTTTCATACCTCTTCTCTTTCTCGTGAACTCTGCCAGTAATCCAAAGTGTCTCAGGAATATGCACAGTGTCTCTTTGTGTACCACGGGAATATTATCCCGAGAGCACACAGCGCTGCCTCAGAAAGGAAGTCACTGTGCACACAGTAATCATGTGTCCTGTGGGAGATGTGTTTGTTTTACTGATCTTTGGTTAGGTTTAGAAAAAGATCGTAGTTTAGATTCAAATATTAGCCATGCTGCTTGAGAAATGGTGCAAAAGAGTTGCTGCTGCATGGAAACACGAGGCAAACGGGTCAGGACCAGTGCTTTCACCACCACAAACCGTGGCTGATGACTTTTGACAAAATGATTGTATTTAAAGGCCGAGGAGAGAGCGTCCTTAACTGCAACCAGAAACTACACTTCAAAGCTTCACCCTGAGCTACCCATCAAAACACCGAGCTCAGGGAAAGGCTGCCGGCCAAGAGGGCAGATTTGAGCAGGCAGGCAATTCAACACTTTCAGTTATTGTTTGATCTTCAAATAAAAGCCTATTAATAATAAAATGAACCCGACTTTTATGACAAACACTCCTCACAGAGGACAGTTTAAAGATCGTGCAATTAGAAACAGGAAGAAAAGGCTTTGAGACGCCGGCTCGGTCGCTAACAAGGCTGCTGTAATGACTCCGCTGGGATTTCTTCACCGGTTTCTCTTCATCCACTTTCAGCCACACTACAGAAACACACACACACACACACACATATATAATTGAAATGCTGCCACTGCTTCTTTTAAAACCTGCTGGATTTAAACTGATAGTTCTGGCCGCAGGAGCTGGTCTGACTGTCTCTTCATGTTCAATCCTCCAGCAATACTTCATCCTGCTGATCCTGACAGACGGCGTCATCACCGACATGGCCGACACGAGGGAGGCCATCGTTCAGGCTTCCCACCTCCCCATGTCCATCATCATCGTTGGGGTCGGGAACGCCGACTTCAGCGACATGCAGATGCTGGACGGCGACGACGGGATCCTGCGCTCACCCAAAGGAGAGCCCGTCCTCCGGGACATCGTTCAGTTCGTCCCCTTCCGCAACTTCAAACACGTGAGTCCATCGTGCTCGAAAACCGTACCGTGTCAGAGCAACGTCACACTCACACAGCGAACGTGCTCGTTAAACTAACACATAATAACCGGTTATGGTGAACACGTGTAACTCCTCTGTGACCGGTTGGTTTTTAGAGTCATGTGGAAACTCCAGAGGAATCAGCAGCCGTGAGCGCCTGTATAAATGTAGACGTTTGGGCACTTTGCAGTTCTGAAGGATTCAGGTTTGTTAGCACAATGCAATGCTCAGACTCCACGCCTCAGGTCACCTGTTAAAGGTCAAAGTTCATGACAGAACAATTAGAAGACGACTGAGCAAGTGTGGCTTGTTTGGAAGAGAAAACATCTCTCCAAAAGGAACACTGCAGCATCAGGTTTGTAAAGCCTCTGGAGACGTCTGGAACAAATGTTTGTTCATCACGTGCAGCATGTGTGGGTAAATCAAACACGTCATATCAGGACAAACACGTTGTATCACCTGTTGGCACGGTGATGGAGCAATGAGGGTTTCATCCCCTTGCAGTCACTGAGTCTCCATGAACTGTCCCATGGCCAAAGCTCGGCCCAAACTGGGTCATGAACAGGACAATGACCCCGAGCACAGCGGCGAAAGAAACGAATGAAGGCTCTGTAACGGTCCAGAGTCCAGAGCTCAGAGAGCTGTGCATGAATAATGCTGCAGAACTAAAGACCTGAAGCTGTAAAGAAGAGTGTATATATACATATATTTTTACCCATAAGAGATTATTTATGTTTTTCTCACATCTTCACTGATGTTTACAAACCTTTAACCTCACTTTTTCTGTGTTTGTTATTATGAAGCATGTTTGTGTAAATTATTAGAAACACTTTCTGTGTTGTTCAGCAGTTACAGACCTCTAATTAGAGCAAAGGCTCTGTAACGGTCCAGAGCTCAGAGAGCTGTGCATGAATAATGCTGCAGAACCAAAGACCTGAAGCTGTAAAGAAGAGTGGGTCAAAATGAAGACTTGAACAATGACTTGTCGCCGTCGCTCTATAATAAAAATTTAATTGCATATATTTTTACCCATAAGATATTATTTGTTTTTCTCACATCTTCACTGATGTGTACAAACCTTTAACCTCGCTTTTTCTGTGTTTGTTATTATGAAGCATGTTTGTGTAAATTATTAGAAACACTTTCTCTGTTGTTCAGCAGTTACAGACCTCTAATTAGAGCACCAGATGGTGTGTTCATTTGAAAACTCTCTTGTTGATGGGAGATGCAGTGTTTAAATATAATTGCATGTGACCCTAAAATAACAGCGGACGATAGGGAAGTGATGGAAAGCAATAAACCGAGAGGAGGAAGTGATTTAAATTCATGATCGGAGCATATTGGAAGTGGAGGAGGACGAGAGGAGAGGCTGTGAAGTTGTTGAAAAAATCTGTTTTCACCTTATAACAAGGGAAATGGGGACAATCTGCCGGACAATCTCAAGTGGAAAATTCTTTATTTCACTCGAATGAATTTTCAGTCTGAGTGAAGTGACAGTACAGTACGAGAGATTCACAGTTCGGACTCGTTGGGAAGATTCATTCTCCTGCATTTAATCTGTGATGAGTGAGAGTTTCTGTCTTTGGACCCCAAGAGAAGCAATTTTTATTTGACAGCAGCAGAACGAGGCAGAGACGAGAGGCAGAGACGAGAGGCTGCGACTGACGCTGCTTCAAACAATTACCGCTGTCTGGGATTTTTCCCAAGGGGAAGACGCTGAAATGAAATTTAAAGACCGTGTCTTAAGTTGTTCTACCTTCCACAAAACACAACATCAGATTAAATTCCATCTGCAGCCCATAAACATGCTCGGATTTGAGGGTCTGGTTTATTTATGCTGCTGCTTTTACGCCACTCTCGCACTGAGGAAAACACTGAGACCACGCCACGACCAAAGTTACTGCAACTGTGTGCAACAGAGCGATAAGACAGAGTCAGACAGATTCAGAAAGTGGTTGCAAAGAAAACCCTCAGCAACTTGCTTTTATACAGGAGTGCAACCAGTCTGCAACCAGTCAGCAACCAGTC